ACAGTACAGAGCACTAGAGGGAGATAGACAGGTAACACAGATTTATGCTGTTGTGTCACAGAGCATGACAGAGGGCTGGACAGGCCCATGGAGAGAAAGTGCCAAACTCTTCAAAAGCATCATGGGAGGTAGTCCCAGACAGCTACATCTTAAGTGAACACTGAGGGACAGAGAAGTCTAGGGTTTGTTTGACAGACAATGGGAAGATTCTCCACAGTGAAGAACTGAGAGATGCCTTGATTGCCTGCTGGGAAAGCCTGGCCATGCTTAGAAATGGAGTAAACTCAGCATGGCTCCAGCAGTACTCCCCAAACTTATCTTTTCTTTTTGTGTCCCTACAAAGATTTACAAAAACAAACAAACAAACAAACAAACAAACAAAAAAACCTCTTTTCTTCCTCCCATGTTCTTAGAGTAACATGAAAAAAATTTAAACCATAAATTTAATTAGCTGCAAGCAATACACCACCAATATGATACCTAAGCGATGAAGTGCAAAATATTTCTTTCTGGTCTAATTGTCATTTCAAAGAATTACTTCCTATATAGTCAGACAAAAAGCTTACATTGCTTAATCCTTAGTGAACAAAAAAAATATGTGGAAAAACATTTTTCAATGAGAGCAGTGTGGTTCCACACACCAAGATTATTCTCATGCATACAGATGGGTCGTAATTTTGCTATAATTTAACATGTTAAATTGTCAGTTGTGTTGTTTTCCTTACATTGAAGTGCTGAGAAGTTTCCTATAAAGTCTTACCAACGTGACCACCCAAACAAGAGCTGACCAAGGACAGCACCAATGGATATGCCAAAATGGATGGGAGAAGGCCCATGAGGCCTCAACTCTACACAAAGAACTCTAGCAACAAAGGAAAGCTAGGGAGTGGGAAAGGTGATCTTCCTCAGGAAAAGCACACCAACTGGTTGTCCAGAGCCAAGTGGCCAGCGCTGAGAACGCACATTGCATACTAATCACATTATGCAAATTAAACAGGTTATATTTAGAATTACGGATGTACATGCGTGCAATAACAATTAGTGAAAAAAGAGGCCATGAATTCGAAGGACAGCAGGGAGGGGTATATGGGAGAGTTTGGAAAGAGGAAGGGAGAAACATTGTAATGATATAATCTTAATAGATAGATAGATAGATAGATAGATAGATAGATAGATAGATAAATAATAAAGTAGATGAGGAAACATAAGTTCTGTTTAAATTAGTGAATGGTTGTGCCAAGGCAGGTACTACAGGAAAAGTTGGAGCAAAAAGGAAGTTTAGGATGCTTTGAGTTTGGGGTCTCTCTAAATCTGTTTTCATAAGAGGAAGACAAGTAGACTTAAGCATGTGTGAGAAAAACAAAGGGAAGAGTGTCTCTGAGAAAGCCCCGTGATATATATTACCCCTTCTGAGAGATAAGGAATGAATGGCATTCTCTCCCTGTTGGGGGAGAGCCAATTGCTGTGGCATAGACTTTAGAGCACTCTGCGAGCACCTGCTACAGACGATCCCAAGGGGATTATCAGCAACATGCCCCAAGGTGCATGAGACACACGTAACTTACAACTAGCACATGAGGGTTTAAATAGTAGAGATTTCAAATGAGTCCAGGCACTGTGACCTGTAGGAAAATATGTTTTAAGTGAGTGATGGGGCCTTGATCTCACAGACAAGGCCAAATGTGTTCTCGAGAAAGTATCCCTCTGGTTCTAGGTTTCCCTGTATATAAAGTGTGGTAATAGCTGAAAGATATTCTGTCCTTTTCAAGCAGCTTGATAAATCTCAGTATTCACAGTCATAGTGGATGTTTCAAATATCACTGTGGTTGTCCTTCTTGCTTGTTTTCTTGACCTCCTCCCTCAATTTTGAGTGAGATGTCTTTAATGCCCTGCAAATGTGGGCTCTTTCATTAAGAAAAAAAAGTGTTTGTAGGGGTCCGACTACTGACAATGGTAGAGCTGTTTATAAGAGCAAAGGGAGATCCATTCATAAGTCATAGAAGAACAGGGCAAGTGAAGGGGGAAGGTTTGAGGGAATAGGCCCTGCCTGAACATAATGAGAACAAAACATGTTGGACATATTTTCCCTAGTTCTTAATACCCTGATTTTCAAGGAACCCAAGAGTTTATGCACTATGTCTGTACAGACTACATAATCATCTCCCCTCCCCCTTCTGTTGAAAATAGATTCTTTTCTCATATAATATATCCTAATTACAGCTTCCCCCCTCTCTACTCCTGGCAGTTCCTCTCTGAACTGCCTTCCCATCTGGATCCACTCCCTTTCTGTCTCTCATTAGAAAAGAACAGGCTTCTAAGACATAACAACAAAACTTAACAAAATAAAATCTAATGTGATAAAACAAAAGCCATCTCATTGAAGTGGAACCAGGCAAACCGACAGACGGAAAAGGACTCAGGAGAAGGTACAAGAAACAGAAACTATTTTTGTTCACATACTCAGGAGTCCTGCAAAAACACTAAACAGGAAGCCATAACATATACACATAGGACCAGGTGCAGACCTGTGCAGGCCCTATGCTTGCTGCTTCAGTCTCTGTGAGCTCATATGAGCCTTGATGGGTTGATTTAGAAGCCTTGTTCTCCTGGTGTTCTCTACCCTCTCTGGCTCTTCCATTCTTTCTGCCTCTTCTTTTATAAAGTTCATTGCGCTTTAAGGGGAGGGATTTAAGGAAAGCATCCTATTTAGAACTGAGTGTTCCAAATTCTCTCTGTGTCCCTTCTTCCCTCCCTCCCTCCATCTCTTCCTCCCTCTGTGTGTGTAATATCTGGAGAGATGACTCAGTTGTTAAAGGTTAGGCTCACAACCAAACCAAACCAAACCAAACCAAACCAAACCAAACCAAACCAAA